CTCCTCCTCACCCACAATCTCTCCAGTAAGATAAAGAAAGTGGCCGGACTTGAATTCCTCTACTGCAAACTGAGATGCATAAGGGATATTTCCAGCTATGTAAGGCAAGTGCTTTCAGTGTCAGAATAAAAAAAATAAATTTAATAAAACTGAAGCTCAAAGACAGCAAAATGACAAGATTCAAAAGGAGACTGTGGACCTAAGGAAAATTCTGAGACTCAAAAGTCATTCTACAAATGACAGTCAATTTTTTTCAGGAGAAAATATAGAGTTTGAAATCACTGGATAAATTATGGTCCAACATAAGAATGACTGCTTTCTCAGGGGTAAAGACTCTACAAATGGAAATGAAAGATGTTGAGAGATACAATAGAAAAATTTTCCCTGAAGCGAACAAGTGAAAGGATAAAAACATGCATCAGACATCAGACAGAACATTAGTGTCATCGACAAGAGGAAAGTATCAGGCTGCCTTCAGACATTTTATGGCAGTATTTAGTGCTAGAATTAATAGAACAGTGGGTTAACAGGAAAAGAAGGGATGAGCCATTCATAATATTCCCCCCAAAAAATAAACAGACATACTTAGAGTGAACTATTTCAACATTTAACAAACAAGCAAGCAAGAAAACAAACAAACAAACAAACAAACAAACACCCCTACTTAATGGTGAAAGACAAGTAAGGAGGAATCCCCGAAGAATGAGCTCAGCCATAGGGAAGCCTAAATGTAATACTGGGGGTGAATACAGCAGCCACCTACACAAGCAGTTGAGATCCAAGTGCCAAGGCGATGAGCGTTGCAGAGCAGAATGCAATTACCATGAACTCTGGCAAAGTTAAAATAATATAATTGTCCTCAAACTGAAACTGAAGAAGAGTGAAGACAAATTGGAAAGAGGCTAATCACCTCAAATCGCACTGCGGGGCGTTAATGAACACTGTTTGGAGCTGACACCAGGGTGTGAAGACATCCAGCTTCCTCCTGATGCTCTTGAACGTCTATTCTTAACCTAAAGACAAGCTTTAAAGAGTTCTTGTTGTGAAGGAAATTTATTTAAGTTCAGCAATTCTTTTAAATTTATTTCAGACTATATTTCTTTTACTAAATTAGTATAGTATTTTAAATAGCAAGAATATGCCTCTCTGCATAGCTATCTTTCTGTTTGTGCAGATGTATAAACATATGACTGTGTGATATTCCATGTATGTTAACAGTTGTTTTTTTCCAAGTGTAAAGATTTTTGAATCATTTTTAGTTTTTTTTAACTTGAATAAAGACATTACAATAAAACAGTCAATTTCACTTGTATTAAACATCTAAATGCAACACAATAATGATAATGATTAAATGATTATAGAAGCCTGCAGATATCTCTTTGTATGAATTTATGTGGAAGGGATAAACCTGCAAAGAAAATCATAAGAGACAAATGTACCTGAAAAAGACAGGGTCAAGTGATTAGAATGTTGTGTAACTGGGAAAGAGGTTTGCTGAGCTTGCCTGACCCAGTGGATTTGTGTCTGAACTCGATGAAGAAGCACTGATCACACACAGTAATAAGCTGCTGTAACCAAGAAGTGAGTGAGCCTCACAGCTCTGATGCCGGGCAAAGTGACTGCGCATGAAGGTGGGAGCAGAGTCTTACTTAGCTCTGCAAATGCAGGCATCATTAGGAAGATAAGCATCTTTGATTTGCTGGGGTGTTATTGAAATTGGAATTAGCTGGTAGTTATTTCCTGGCACAATTATCAATCTATCACGCAGGACGCTGAGATCAGGGGGCAGTGGTGAGTTACCACTGTAACTAAGGATTCTGGAACAGTAAACAGTAAACAAGAACACTGCCTAATATCAGATGAAGGTAAGTAATGCTTAAAGAAGTCACAGAGACCTACATGATGCAGAGTTTCTTTCTGGCAAGAATCAGTGAAATGTGGCTAACTTAACCATCCTAGTACTCTGGACTCCTGAAACTTGGGAAACATATTCAGGTGACACTGAAAACAAAAAAGCATAGGGATTAAAAAGCATGCTAATGCATGTCCTCATTTCCTGCTGTTTCAAAAACACTGGCCTAATGTTGGACCATGAACACTGAACACTGATTTAGAATGTTATCATTTATTTAAGGTAGCCCCAAATTCCATATCCTTCAGTATACTTCCTCTTTGAACAAAACTGGATGTTTAATTTCACAAATGTGTACTCCCAGAAAACAAAGTGTTACATTTGAAAGATGCATTGAATTCTAAGATATTTCAAATATACCCCACGTTTCCCCATGTACTGATAAGATGGATCACTTAGATAAATTGGATTTTTGTTAAAGATGAAGAAGAGACTAAACTCTGATAGATAATAATAGAACTTCAAGTATCTGTAGAAGTTGAATGTGGGAGAAGGGCCAGTTAGCTTGCAGACCGTAGGAGCGGCCCCGGGTTTATTAGGTTAAGAGAACAGAAGTGTGTGTCTTTCTGACAAATTGAAATTTTTCCATCACATTTCTATGTGTAGGATTAAATTCCTGCATAACCAGAAGGTAACGTTAAATAAGAAAAAAATTTATTACAGAATGGAATACTGACTAAACATAAAGAAGACAACCCCTTAGACTTAGTGCAAGAAAATGCACAAACTCATGCACACGCACATATACACACATTAAAATTGCCAGGAAAAAAATCTGTATACATCCAAATTGTTGTACATAGTAATTAGTATTCTTCTTAGCTTAATTGAATATTCAAAAGTAGTTTTAAATTTTAATAAATGTGCTTATCTTAGACCTAGAGGAACTTTGATGTTTTACCATACAAATATCTGAATACATAAAAAGGTATAAAAAGATTAGCGTATACAACAGAATTTTCAAAATATAAATCTCATGTCTACTAGTATTGCTGAATTTCTTTGTATTCTTTCTTAACCTAAGAACTAAGCGTACTGATAAGTTTGCACCAAACTCACTGCATTCATGAGAAAACTAAGGCTCGGGGGAACTGTGGCTGGCTTCTTAAATAGTGACAAGGCTTTAGGGTAGAGCATACCCTACTGCATGCATTCGTGATCCTAATGAGGGGGCTGCTGATGAGATGTACATTTTCCTATTTATTTCAATTATTTATTTTTGTAGCGTGTGTGCAGAGAAATTTTCAAGTAAATGGGTCTCCTTTCTTTTCTCATCTCAAGCCACACCCCTGCCTGACTTCAGAGGTGCTGAGCCCCATGCTGCAGAACTACCTAGAGGCAGATGGTAATGGGTGGCCACGTGGGGAGAACAAGCAGCAGGACTGGATACGGGGAAGCGCTGTATAGAGATTTCAAATCGATACAGTGGTTTTAGAAGTGCTGGTGAACTGAGGCTGCGAACTTTCCAGGGACGAATATTAGTAAGCCTGACTGCCACCACCTCACACTTCAACGTTATAAAATCAGTGGCTTCTTTCTTATTAGGTCAGTAGATGGAGTACACATTCATCCAATTTTTCTAGAAGAATCCTAGTTCACAGTCACAGTTGCGCTCTCAAAACGGTTCTGGCTGTGGGGTGAATTCTCTCGCTCCCTACATTGTATTCTCAGGTGGCCACTACAGTTTGGTTTAAAGGGATGCATTTTCAGAGAAGTTCCTGCCTGTGATTACTCTCCCCTTCTTTGCCATGCTAAGTAATTTCTTGATTCCCACGTACAAGTTTGCCTTTCTTCAGATACTGTCTAACAGTACCCAACACAACAAGAAGTCAGAAAATAACTGAGCGGCAGTGACTTTCAATCAGAGGGGAGACTAACGGGGTAGCAGGCTATTTTTCAGTTCTTACAAAAATAAAACAAAAAGCCAATCAATGTTTAAAGTTTGAATTTAATTATTTGCATAGTTTACCATGTAAGGTTAGGTACCTTACATATGTCTATTGTGTTACTTGTCAGACCAAAATCCAGGAAGCAAAGAAATCTCAGTACAGAATTTCTAGTCCCTAGAGGAGTAGTCAACATAATATATAAATAAAACTGTGCAGGTTCTCATAAAACAAAATAAAATTTAGAGTTAATATAATTATCCTAATTAAAATTTCATATTAAAAAGTACTCTTTTCCGTTTTCACTTTGATATTTAAGGAAAAAAAGCTTTGAATCAAATTATGCCTTACTATATAACTCATTTGCTAAGATATTATTATGTCAGGGATATTGAACCATAATTCTAGTTTAAAAAGGACTTTCATATTTATGAAATAAGGCTAGCAAACTTCCACATTTTATGTAACACACTTTCTAGTCTTTCTGTCTGAATAAATTTATTTCCATACCTATACACACGTACCCCAGGGGAATGCCTACTAGATCTGAGATATTCTAGTTCAATTTTTATGCACCCAAGAATACTTACTACCTTCTGAGAAGTAACACACTTAAGCCAAAATAAACATTGTCTAAGTTATAATCTTTTTAATTTTAACATGCTGCTGAGTGATAAAGTACACAAAGCATACACACAGTTGAAAAGATAATATTCTTTCTTGGTTTAAATAATGTACATTCAGAAATCAATTTAATTTCTATACCATGACTCATTGTAATGTCTTAGAAAATGCACGTCCATTAAAACTAAAAAGATTTATAATATATTAACCTCAAATAATTTATTCAAGTCAATGCTTCCAACAAAAATTACTCAAGATATACCGAGTGCCCCTTTTGGAATTGATATAAATATGTATTTTTAACTTCCATTGAAAGCATTTTCAGAGGGGCACATTTTATAGACTAGCAAATACAACACTGCAGTTTAATTCAACATGATTCTCTAATCTGTTAGTTTAAAACTAACCTTCACTAGTTTTTCTGTTGTTTTATCATTTTGATTTCCTCCCGTAAGTCTTTAGCTTCAGGAAACTTAAATACAAACTGAACAGATACGGGGATTCTATTCTCCTATTTCAAGCTAAAACATAACCTCTAAATTATCTTTTACAGTTAAGCCAAAGCCAGTATCACATACCTTTCGGGAATGAATTTCTTTCACATACAATGGAAGTAGAAACTCAGATATACCTTCAAGTCGGATTCCCTTCTTGGTGACTCTCAGATTTCCCATACCATCCTACAAGCAATGAAATATAGTTCACTTTTAGGTGGATTAGAGAATGAATAACTGGCCATAATTTTCTTAGGCCTAAATTGAGAAAACAATAAGCTCAAGTCAGTGATGATTTAAGGAAAATGAGAGATCGAATCTACTTAATGAATGATTGCAGCAATTTGCATGCATATAGAGGGCTCTGTTTAAAATGAACGGGATAAGAGGAATATAACGGACCTAGTATCTACTCCCAGCTCTATCAAAGGCTAGGGTTTATCGTGAATAAATCCTGTAATTTCTTCATGCATCAGCCAGTTTAACTATTTATTAGGTATAATGATACTTGCTACCTAACTTTGGGAAGAACTTTATTTGCAGAGTTCTAATAACATTTTTATGCTATACTTACAAACACATACTTCTATAATATTGAAACAGTGACATTTGTATAATTTCAGTAAGTAATTAATGACTGACTAGTATAAACATGATGTTTGCATATTCAAACAACGAGAAAAGCGTATGTCCTTTCCTTTACAAAATAACACTTTGAGGGTAAAACAAGCACACAGGTAATGTTTATGAGACAGTAACATAAATAAAAAGGTAAGAATGGAATGCTAGTAGGAATTTTTACAAAAGAGATTTCAAGTCAGGCACTGGAGTGTACAGTGTCTCATGGGAGAGGCTGACTATGATAAAGGCCTTAAGAATATGGAATTTCAACAGGAGATGTCCATACAGCAAGGAACAAAATAAACATTCTGGTAACACACAGGAAATAACAAAGCCATCCAGTCTGGATAATGTAGGAAAGATGGTGAAAGAATACAAGGGGGATCATGTTATGAGGCCAGAGAAAGGAAGACCTTAAATGCAAAGCTAAGGAGTCCGTACCCACTTCAGACTCCAGAATAAGAATCATAAAAAGTTCTTGAATAGTTCAAATTATCAATGTTTCAGCTTTAAGGTTAATCTGGTAGGAATACTCTGTGGGGCTCAGTGATGCGTATTGGTGAATAACGCACAACTTGGCAAGAGGAGTGAGCAGCGTGGTGGGAACACAAACTCCAGGACCTGGTGACCGACTGTATCGGGAGATACCAAAAAGGGAGCATTTCTCATTAATCCAAGAGCCCGCCACCACGACTGAAGAAAGAAATGCAGTGGTTTTTACACTGGAAGCCTGAAGCTTGTAGACTCAGCAACAAAAATAAATTCAGTTTTGGACTTTCTAACTTTGAGGTATCATTGAAAAAGTCAGGTATTTATTCATAAACCATCACATCTGTAGAAAGTAGGTTGGCGATGACAAATACTTAAGGCATGTTGGATCTATTATGATGGATGAGCAAATGCCATGTGGGAAAATGTATATAAAACCAAGGAGAAACCTTCAGATAATGACTTGGTCTGTGGGTTGGAAAGAAATATTTTATACATTCTGGGCAGCTGAGTAGAAGAAGAGGAAAGCTTAGTGATTATCCTGGCTCCAGTCCTGAACCCCAAAAGAATGCCAATCAAGTTGTATAAAAACACTTTTCAGAAAGAATTAAAAGACTTTTAAATTAGACAAAGAAATGACTATTAAATAGAGAAATTTTTATGTGGGCAGTTTCAAATCTCTCATCAAAGGAGGAGGGAGTAGATTTTGGTTGAATTGGACTGGGGATAAGAAGAAGGGATTCATTTCTTGAGGCTCTGATTTAAAACTGACACTGGAAATGTCTAACAGGGGACCAACTAAAAATAAAGAAGCATACATATGAGAAATGTAAGCATCACTACAGGCTGATTCTGATGAGAAAATAGTCTCTTTTTGTCAAGATGATGACACACTCTGGTTCTGTGAGACACAGCTCTTTATACCAGTCTTGGAATATTCTCTTTCACTTTCAAAAGTGAAAAGTGTCTCTGATTTAGATATTCACTACAAAGTCACTGACAGACTGGCTCCAATTAATGTGGCTTTGCAGCATTCTACCTATCTAGGAACAGACAAAGTTCCTAGATAAGTTGGAAATTCAAAACTGAGACTGTGCTAGGCAGGAACGGCCAGAAGTCATAAAGATGCGGTGTTCTAAAGTAGCAAAAAACGATGCTCCTCAAACGCCGTAACAGCAGTGTTGGGCTACAAAATAGCACAAGGTCCAAGAATGATAACTGACAATAAAGTAAGGATTAAGATCAACAGGGGTTAAGAAATGTGAGAGATGCTAAGACCAGAAAATGGAGCTTCAGATTAAGAGATATGGGCAGCGAGAGAATTTCCAGACCTGAAGAAGCCTAAGGACCACAGGAGCAGTGGCAGCAGAAATCAAGTGGAGGCAGGACTCTCACATTCGGAAAGCTGGAAATATTAGAACGTAAAAGGGACACAAGGCTTTAAAGCATTACGCTTTCTCAGAGGGACTGTCTTCATTAAACCTGACACAGTGACTGTCTATATATTTTGTCAAATGCCTGTTGGAAGAAATGTTTTTAAGTAGCCGCCATGGAGTTGCTATGGAAACATCTAATGCAATTGACTAACTTGTGGATATTAAAAAATTCTAGCATAAACATAATTCACAGTTCGATATAATCTTAAAAATTATTTTCAGGGCCTCGCTGGTGTGACTCAGTGGATTGAGCCGCAGCCAGTGCCCAGAGAGGTCACTGGTTTGATTCCCATGCCTGGGTTGCAGGCCAGGTCTCCAGCTGTGGGGTGAGCTAGAGGCAGCTCACCTATGTATCTTTGGCACATTGATGCTTCTCTCCCTCTCTTTCTACCTCCCTTTCTCTCTTTCTAAAAGTAAATAAATAAAATCTTTAAAAATTACTTTTGTAAAAGAGTTAAAATTAAAAGAATCGGACATCTAAAGTGTGATAATATGTTATATGTATATTTAATTTTGGAAAGTTCTGAATCTTAAGCTCAGTGGTTTCTTACATTTTCTATACAATATATATTTTAATATATACCAATATTAATATTTTCTTTAAATTAGATGAAATAGCAAATCCCCTATATAAATGTAGAACAGTTATTAAAGTACTGTGCTGTGAATCTAACTTCACCCCAACATGTCTGTTTGTTTCATCTTTTATTTCTGTTTTGTATTAAAAATAAATTTTTAATTTTGTCCATATCATCTTCAGGTAGTTTTAAAATACATAAAGTTATATAATATATATTCAGTATATAATCAACCTGGTCCTCACATTTATGAACCAAACCCACTAATAATTTAAAAGATGATGAAATAATGTGGCTTTCCTTCTGCAGGAGCATTAAAAAATGAATTTATTCCTAAATCACTATATTCTTGGTTCCTTCAACATCTAAAAGGGAGGAAGTAATTTGTGAATTTACTGTTAAGAAGAACATTGTCAAAACTTTGGAAAGTAACAGGGTCTGGTGTCTCTATATGTCCCAGGTCCCAGTCTGGTATCTGCCACTCTCTGCCCGCGTCAGCTTGAACTACTCAACTACACGCTTTGTACCTTTAGTCATCTGTGAAAGGAATACTATCAGAATTTATGTGTTTATTGCAAGGACTACATGAGGATTAGAGAGCTTAAAATAATGCCTAACTTATGTAGCAACTGTAAAAAATGTAGGTATTATTGTACTTCATAGTTTTAACCATTGTTAACATTTTATTAAAATAACTTAAATTTTTCTCATATCATTATACAAATTCATATTGTTTATTTTCAGAGAGATTATCTTTGAACATCAAGACTCTGCATTGAGCTTTGTTATCATTATATTTACTGTGCTTTTATTCACTATCTAGTAATCTCATAATTGTTTACCTACTTTGGACACAGTGTGGTGTTGCTTTACAAGGGAATGTGGAACCGGCCAGATTGGATTTGAGACTTGACTATTATTTATTAACACTTGACTTCGGCATGTTGTTTAATCTATTTAAATTTAAATTCACTTTTCTATAATTATCATAATAGTATTTCTCACAGGGATGTTTTAATAATTTAACAAGATAATATGCAAAGTTGATTACTTGATCTGGCATATTTTTGATAATTATTCTCTGTACTCATTTAAAATAAACACTTTAATAATAAAATATAATTAACCTGTAATCAACATGTGTGGTTTTTTTATTGAATTAATTGAGGTAAAATTCATTAATAAAATTATATATAGATTCCACATGAACCATTCTATGACACATCATCTGTATATTGTATTGTATGTTCACCATCCAAAGTCAAGTCTCCTTCCATCACCATTTATCCCCTTCACCCTCTTCTACCTGCCGCCACTCCCTTTCCCACCAGCTGTCATCGCACTGTTGTCTATGAGGGTTTTTTTCTTAATCCATTCACCTTTTTTATCCAGTCCCCTGACCCTCTTTCCCCTCTGACAGCTGTCAGTCTGTTCTCTGTTTCTGAGTCCATCACATGTTTTTAAATCAATCTCTCCCGTTCTCTTTTCTTTTTCTCATTCCCTATGGCACTATTAAAGTTCAAGACTACTTCATCTTCAACCTGGCAATTGCCTCCAAACTTGCACTCTTGGGAGAGCAAGATAACATTTTTTACACAGTCAGTTTAATGAAATATTCTTTATTCTTGCTCAAAAACTCTTAAGATCACCTCAATACTCAGATTATTAATTTATATACTTTATTTTGAATATTCAGTATGCTTTCTAATCTATTATAAACAATATCATTTCACATTGAGAGGAAATATCACAGAACAATCTCTTCTACTGTAGCCCATCCTTTTTTAGAATAATTTTTAAGACCCTTTAAGTGTCCCATATAATCCTCAATTTTTCAGGTGTTTTGTTCTTTTCTCATTATTACTCATCCTTACCTTTACTAAACTGCTAGCAATTACCCAGAAAGCTCTCATTTTGCCATTAAAATTTCTTAATTGATGTATTTTATTTGCCTGAACTGATCTATTGACACCTCTCCTTCATACTCCTACCCATCATTCAAGGCCCAGTGCAAAGAGAGCCATGGTTAATATTATAGTCAGAAATAATATTTCTCACTACG